GATACAAAAAATTAGCTGGGCATGGTGGCACGTGCCTGTAATCCCAGCTACTCAGGAGGCTGAGGCAGGAGAATTGCCTGAGCCCAGGAGGCGGAAGTTGCGGTGAGCCGAGATCGCGCCATTGCACTCCAGCCTGGGTAACAAGAGCGAAACTCCGTCTCAAAAAAAAAAAACAAAAAAGAATTCCCATTAGTGTAGGTCTGCTGGGTGTTTTTTAAATTTAAAAAAAATTTTTTTTTTTTTGAGACAGAGTCTCACTCTGTCACCCAGGCTAGAGTGCAGTGGCACAATCCTGGCTCACTGCAACCCTGTCCTCCCAGGTGCAAGTGATTCTCCTGCCTCAGCATTACAAGTAGCCGAGGCAGGAAAATCACTTGCACCTGGGAGGTCAGGTGCCCCTATGCCCAACTTTTCTATGTTTAGTAGAAAAGGGGTATCATATGTTGGCCAGATTGGTCTTGAACTCCTGACCTCAGGTGATCCACCCTCCTCAGTCTCCCAAAGTATTGGGATTACAGGAGTGAGCCCTGCTGTTCTGTTTGTTTTAGAGACAAGGTCTGGTTCCATTGCCCAAGCTGGAGATGCAGCCTAAACCTCCTGGGCTCAAGCAATCAAGTAGCTAGGAGTATAGCAAGGTACCAGCATGCCCAGCTAATTTAGATCTGCTGTTAATGAACTGTCTTTGTTTGTTTGATGTCATTTTATGTGCATTCTTTTTTCTTTTTTTTTTTTTTGAGATGGAGTCTTGTTTTGTCGCCCAGGCTGGAGTGCAGTGGTGCGATCTTGGCTCACTGTAACCTCAGCCTCCCCGGTTCAAGCAATTCTCCCTCAGCCTCCTGAGTAGATGGAATTATAGGTGCCTGCCACCATGCCTGGCTAATTCTTGTTTTTAATTTTTTTTTTTTTTTTTTTTTTTAGGTGGAGTTTCACTTTTTCGCCCAGGCTGGAGTGAAGTGGCTTGATTTTGGCTCACTGCAACCTCTGCCCACCGGGGTTCAAGTGATTCTCCTCCCTCAGCCTCCTGAGTAGCTGGGATTACAGGTGCCCACCACCACACAGGGCCAATTTTTTTGTATTTGTAGTAGGGACAGGGTTTTGCCATGTTGGCCAGGCTGGTCTCAAATTCCTGACCTCAGGTGATCCTCCCTCCTCAGTCTCCTAGAGTGCTAGGATTACAGTTGTGAGCCACCATGCCCAGCCTTAATTCTTGGTTATCTGCCCACATTGGCCTCCCAAAGTGCTGGGATTACAAGCATGAGCCACCGTGCCCAGCCTCGTTTTGTACACTTCCTTCCTCCCTCCCGCCCTTCCTTCCTTCCCTCCTTCCTTCTTTTTCTTTTTTTTCTTTTTTTTTTTTTGAGATAGAGTCTCTCTCTGTCATCCAGACTGGAGTGCAGTGGCGATCTCGGCTCACTGCAACCCCTGCCTCCTGGGTTCAAGTCATTCTCCTGGCTCAGCCTCCGAGTAGCTACAGGCTACTCGAGCTACAGGTGTGCACCACCATACCCAGTTAATTTTTGTATTTTTAGTAGAGATGAGGTTACATCACGTTGGCTAGGATGGTCTTGATCTCTTGACCTCGTGATCCGCCCACCCAAAGTGCTGGGATTGCAGGCGTGAACCACCACACCCGGCCTGTTTCGTGCACTTTTCTTTACACATTTATCCAACTTAGTATTTGACAGACCGTTTGAATCTATGAGAAATGGCTCTGCGATGTGTCAACTTGGGTAAACTCCAATTTATAGATTTCCCTTCCTAGCATGTTTCCAGTTAGAATGGGTTACATGGGAGATTCATGAGGCTGACACTTTGTAGCATGCACGCACCTTCTCCCAATTACTCAATCACGCATTAGGTGTTGCTGTAAAAGGGAATTTTAAAATATAATTAATGTTCCAAATCAGTTGAACCTCTGGCTTAAGCTTGCTTGGTTGATCTCTGCAGTTTGCTGGTGGCTCAATTGGAGCTAGATTGTCTAAGACCTCATTCACATATCTAGCAATTGGCAGCCAATTTGGTCTTAAGGGTTGGGGGCAAGGTTCAGTTACAATTATTGTCTCTGTTTCATGTAGTTTCTTTTTTGTTTGTTTTTGAGACAAAATCTTGCTCTATTGTCCAAGTGGTGCGATTTCAGCTCACTGCAACCTCCACCTCCTGAGTTCAGGTGATTCCCCCGCCTCAGCCTCCCAAGGCTCCCAAGGACTACAGGCATGCGCTACCATGCCAGGCTAATTTTTGTATTTTTAGTAGAGAGGGGGTTTCATCATGTTGCCAAGACTGGTCTTGAACCCCTGACCTCAAATAATAGGCCCACCTCAGCCTCCCAAAGTGCTAGGATTACAGACGAGAGTCACCACACCAGGCCGTTCATGTAGTTTCTTATCTTCCAATAGACCTGTCCAGGCTTCTTTCAATGGTGGTTTCAGAATTCCAAAGGGCAGTAAGAGAGATCAAGCCCCAATGCATAGTTTATATTCCTTTGCTTTTGTCACATCTGCTGTTGTCTCACTGGCCAAAACAAGTCATAGGGCCAAGCCAGATACAGCAGGTAGAGTAGACTCTCCTTCGATGAGAGAAACAGCCAAGTCATGTCACAAAGGGGTGAGTGCACAGGGATGAGAATTATTGTGGTCATTTCCACACTCAATCTATCAAATTGCCTTATGAAGAGCACACTGCAAGTAAGTCAAATGACAAACTTGGAAAAATACTTGCAAGTCAAATCACAAAAGACTAACTTAGTTAATAAATAAGGAGCTTCTACAAAATGTTAACAAAAAGATCAAAAGCTAATACATAAATGGCAAAAGGATATGGACCATTTCCAAAAGAAAATGCAAATGTCTTTTTCTGGCTGGAAGCAAGGAAAAGGAAAGAAGAAGGAAGCTTTAAAGACATTGAGATAACTTTTTTAAAGCTGATTGTTTTTAAATTGCATGGTACAAAACTTTAAAAGGCACAAAAAGGTACAGTGAAAAATTTCCTGTACTGCATTTGTCATGTCCTCTGCTTTTACTTACAACAGATTTTGCCATGCAGGCATTTTTATTATTTCAAAATATTTACATAGGCCAGGTGCAGTGGCTCATTCCTATAATCCCAGCACTTTGGGAAGCCAAGACAAGAGGATCACTTAAGGTCAGGAATTCGAGACCAGCCTGGCCACCATAGTGAAACCCTGTCTCTACTAAAAATACAAAACTTAGCCAGGTATGGTGATGCATGCCTGCAGTCCCAGGTACTTGGGAGGCTGAGGCACAGAACTGCGTGAATCCAGGAGGTGGAGGCTGCGGTGAGCCAAGATCTCGCCATTGCACTCCAGCCTGGGTGACAGAGCAAGACCCTGTCTCAAAACAAAACAAAACAAAATATTTAAATATTTCAAGGACTTATTTATGGCACCTGGGTTGTGGTCCTACATTTCCAACTCATAATTATTTAAAAATCAAACATTAGGCTGGGTGCAGTGGAATGTACCTGTGGTGACAGGCACTCAAGAGGCTGAGGTGGGAGAATTGCTTGAGCCCAGGATTTTGAGGCCAGCCTGGGAAATTTTTAGTAGAGAATTGAGGCCAGCCAAAACATTAGGCTGGGCGTGGTGGCTCACGTCTGTAATCCCAGCACTTTGGGAGGCCAACGCGGGTGGATCATGAGGTCAGGAGTTCGAGACCAGCCTGGCCAATATGGTGAAACCCCATCTCTACTAAAAATATAAAAATTAGCTGGTATGGTGTCGGGCACCTGTAGTCCCAGTTACTCAGGAGGCTGAGGCAGGAGAATTGCTTGAACCCGGGAGGCAGAGGTTGCAGTGAGCTGAGCTTAAGCCACTGCACTCCAGGGTGGGTGACAGAGCGAGACTCTGTCTCAAAAAAAAAAAAAAAGCCGGGCGCGGTGGCTCAAGCCTGTAATCCCAGCACTTTGGGAGGCCGAGGTGGGTGGATCACGAGGTCAAGAGATTGAGACCATCCGGGTCAATGTGGTGAAACCCCGTCTCAACTAAAAATACAAAAAAATTAGCTGGGCATGGTGGCGCGTGCCTGTAATCCCAGCTACTCAGGAGGCTGAGGCAGGAGAATCGCCTGAACTCAGGAGGTGGAGGTTGCGGTGAGCCAAGATCGCGCCATTGCACTCCAGGGTGGGTGACAGAGCGAGACTCTGTCTCAAAAAAAAAAAAAAAAAAAAGCCAAAACATTAAAACCTCCCTTCAATTTCTTCTAGTACCTTTATTTTTAAATTTTTTATATTTAAATATTTGATTCTTTGGATTATCCTGACATAAGGTATGAAGTATGGACCTAACGTGAAGTGTTGAATTATCTATCCATCTTTCTACTACTGATTTAAAAGGTCATCTTTTTCATAAACGAAATTCCTGCATATATTAACATTTGGAGGCAGGCAGGTGAGCTGATCAAAAAGAATGACAGCAAACCCCTGGAGAAGGAAGAGTGTGGGAGAAACACGGCCGAGCCGTGGAACCTTTCCTTTCACGCTAGCTGACCTAATGAGCTCACGCACGACAACTGTCATAATGTTTGCCTCATAGAGCTACTGAAGGATTCTCAACCATCAACCACACAGAAAGAAAGACAGACAAAAGTCTTTTTAATATGAAAACTATGTATCTGGGCACAAAAATGCAATACACAGTAAGAAACCACCATATTCTATTAATTATGACATTCTGTAATCTAAGAACACGGAAAATTTTCTTAAGAAATGCCAAGAGGAAGCCGGGCGCGGTGGCTCAAGCCTGTAATCCCAGCACTTTGGGAGGCCGAGGCGGGTGGATCACGAGGTCGAGAGATCGAGACCATCCTGGTCAACATAGTGAAACCCCGTCTCTACTAAAAATACAAAAAACTAGCTGGGCGTGGTGGCACGTGCCTGTAACCCCAGCTACTTAGGAGGCTGAGGCAGGAGAATTGCCTGAGCCCAGGACGCGGAGGTTGCGGTGAGCCGAGATCGCGCCATTGCACTCCAGCCTGGGTAACAAGAGCGAAACTCCGTCTCAAAAAAAAAAAAAAAAGAAATGCCAAGAGGAAAAAGAACTCTGTAAAGTCTTATTCAATTTTCTGTTAGAAAAAAAAGGATGTTTACTTGGCTCTTGTCACAGTTCCATCATGTCTACTCTCCTTGTAAGTTCAGCTTCAATGCTATCCTGCAGGAAGAAAGACATACCATAAATAAGGGCATAAAACAGATGCTCTAACTTTTATTCAATGTTATTTAAAATAAGGGAAGCAAAAAAGAAAAACATTAAAACAAAAAATGTTAAAAATACTATTATGAATATCAAATATGCTTTTAGACATTCCCTTGCTTTTACATCTCCCCTCTCTTCCCCCGAGAAAGCACTCAAACTCCTAAGTGATTCTAAGAAACACCTGAAGGGAAGGGAAAACCCTTAAACAATGTGCCTCTGCAACGTCACTCACATCACCTGTTCTCCATTTTCATTTTTTTTTTTTGAGACAGTTTTGTTCTTGTTGCCCAGGCTGGAGTGCAATGGCGCCATCTTGGCTCAACGCAATCTCTGCCTCGTGGGTTCAAGGGATTCTTCTGCCTCAGCCTCCTGAGTAGCTGGGATTACAGGCATGTACCATCACGCATGGCTAACTGTGTATTTTTAGTAGAGATGGGATTTCTCCATGTTGGTCAGGCTGGTCTAGAACTCCTGACCTCAGGTGACCCGCCTGCCTCGGCCTCCCAAAGTGCTGGGATTACAGGTATGAGCCACTGTGCCTGGCCTTTCTTTTCCATTTTCATTGCCATTGTCCTCATTACTTTTTATCTGGCCTAAATATGCAAACTGGTTTCTGCAATTTTCTTTCTCCCTTCCCTAGTCTACCCTAAAAACTAGCTACAGAATAATCTTCCTAAAGAACTAGCCTGATCAAAAAGCATAGCTTTGGCTAGGTGCAGTGGCTCACGCCTGTAATGCCAGTACTTTGGAAGGCCAAAGCAGGTGGATCACTTGACGTCAAAGAAACCAGCCTACCCAATGTGGTAAAACCTGTCTCTACTAAAAACACAAAAATATGGCTGGGCACAGTGGCTCACGCCTATAATCCCAGCACTTTGAGAGGCTTAGGTGGGTGGATCCCCTGAGGTCATAAGTTGGAGACCAGCCCGACCAACATGGTGAAACCCTGTCTCTACTAAAAATACAAAAATCAGGCGTGGCGGCAGGTGCCTGTAATTCTAGCTACTCAGGAAGCTGAGGCAGGAGAATCGCTTGAATCTGGGAGGCAGTGGTTGCAGTGAGCCGAGATCATGCTATTGCACTCCAGCCTGGGCAACAGAGCAAGACTTCATCTCAAATAAATAAATAAATAAATAAAAATATAAAAATTAGCTGGGCATGGTGGTGTGCACCTGTAATCCCAGTTACCTGGGAGACTGAGGCACAAGAATCACTTGAATGTGGGAGGTGGAAGTTGCAGTAAGCTGAGATCACCCCACTGCACGCTAGAATGGAAGAGAGAGCAAGACTCTTTCTCAAAAAAAAAAAAAAATAATAATAATAAATAACAGCACAGCTTTGATCATACTTCTTTTTTTTTTTTGAGACGGAGTTTCGCTCTTGTTACCCAGGCTGGAGTGCAATGGCACGATCTCGGCTCACCGCAACCTCCGCCTCCTGGGTTCAGGCAATTCTCCTGTCTCAGCCTCCTGAGTAGCTCGGATTACAGGCATGTGCCACCATGCCCAGCTACTTTTTTGTATTTTTAGTAGAGACGGGGTTTCACCATGTTGACCAGGATGGTCTCGATCTCTTGACCTCGTGATCCACCCGCCTCGGCCTCCCAAAGTGCTGGGATTACAGGTTTGAGCCACCGCGCCCGGCGATCATATTTCTTATAAGCTTAAAAAACAAGGAAACACACAGGATCTTTCAGTGGTCAACATTTCTAAGTTTAACACTCTTTATATATTAAGGCCCTCTACATCATAAACCAATTGATCTTTTCCAACTCTTTCTACATTTCATGCTTCAAGCAGCCAGGCCTTATCACTTGCTATAACTTGAATAAGTCTTCCATTTTTCAGCTTTCTTTCTTTTTTTTTTTTTGAGACAGATTCTCTCTCTGAAGCCCAGGCTGGAGTGCAGTGGTGCAATCTCCGCTCACTGCAACCTCTGCCTCCTGGGTTCGAGCGATTCTCCTGCCTCAGCCTCCCGAGTAACTGGGATTATGGGCACCTGCCACCATGCTTGGCTAATTTTTGTATTTTTAGTAGAGACGAGGTTTTACCATGTTGGCCAGGCTGGTGTTGAACTCTTGACCTCAGGTGATCCACCCATCTCAGCCTCCCAAAGTGCTAAGATTACAGGCATGAGCCACTGCGCCTGGCCCCATTTTTCAGCTTATATGCCTTTGCAAATTCTTTTTGCCTAGAATATTCTATAGCTAGGGGGATATATATATGTCTGTATGTATATATGTATATTCCCTTTTTTTGCCTAGAATATTCTGTATCTCTTAATATATTGTCTCTCAATATCATATATATACACATATATTCCTTTTTTTACCTAGAATATTCTATATCTCTCAACATATTCTATGTCTCTCAATATCATATATATACACAAATATTCCTTTTTTTTTTTTTTTTTTGCCTAGAGTGTTCTATATCTCTCAATATACCCCCTTTTTCCACTAGGGAAATCTACACAAAAATTTAAAAGGCATAAAATACTTTTTGTTTTTTAATGGAAAAAATATATACGCATGTACACAGCCAAAAAAGTATTAAAAGATGCGGGAGAATGATACACAGTAATTTTAGGACTGCCGTTTACCTCTGAAGAGAAAGGAAAGAAGAATGAAGAGGACTTTAGTTATATTAACATTTCTTTTCTTTTTTAAAATCTGAAAAAATTACAGGAACTACTTACTAATTCTCGCTTTGCTTCTTCAATTTTCACTTTAGCAAGAGATGGATTCTTAAAAAAAAATAAATAAAACAAGGAAAGGTTATATTGCCTCAATTCAGACTCAAGGAGAAAAATAATGCCACAATTCTTTTCAAAAGGCAAAAAGCCTCACAGAGGGAATACCCAATGTACATATAACACTGAAATTTACTGCTGACTTTAAACTCTTAAAATCCGACATACTATGTTTTTTTTTTTTTTTTTTGAGATGGAGTCTTGCTCTGTCACCCAGGCTGGAATTTGGTGGCGTGATCTTGGCTCACTGCAACCTCCGCCTCCCAGGTTCAAGTGATTCTCCATCCTCAGCCTCCCAGGTAGCTGGAACTACAGGTGTGCACCACTGCATCTGGCTAATTTTTGTATTTTTAGCAGAGATGGGGTTTCACCATGTTAGCCAGGCTGGTCTCTAATTCAGGTGATCAGCCTGCCTCGGCCTCCCAAAGTGCTGGGAATACAGGCATGAGCCAATGTGCCTGGCCTAAACACACTATTTTCACTGTCATATAGTACCCTTAGGTGAGGTTGGAGAAAATATTATTTTTTTAGTCACGAAAATTATTACCGGCATTAAGTCTAAATAGGACTCCAATTTTTTCTTCAAAGGTATAGTCTGCTGCTTTAATTTTGCCAGTTTCTGGAGGTAAAAGAACACAGTCACAGAGTAATAAAAACATTCAAAATGTAACTAATAACTGTCCATTTCTGAAATACAACACAACAAAGCATTAACATTAGGATACTTTAAATAATGTTATTGAATAAAGAGCTTCAAAGATAGACAAACTCGCTCTTAATGAAAACAACTGTTGGATACTTAAAATAGAAAAGTTATGTTCTTTAAAATCTTTTTTTTTTTTTGAGACAGAGTCTCACTGTCACCCAGGCTGGAGTTCAATGGTGTGATCTCGGCTCACTGCAACTCCACCCCAGCCTCTCGAGTAGCTGGGATTACAGGCACCTGCCATCAGGCCCTGCTAATTTTTGTATTTTTAGTAGAGATGGGTTTTCACCATGTTGGCCAGGCTGGTCTTGAACTCCTGACCTCAGGTGATCCTCCCACCTTGGCCTCCCAAAGTGCTGGGATTACAGGCATAAGCCACCGCGCCCAGCCAGAAAGTTATATTTTTATTTAGTATTTGAGACAGAGTCTCTCTGTGTTGCCCACGTAGAAATGCAGTGGTGCAATCATGGCTTACAATAGCCTCAAACTCCTGGGCTCATCCAATCTTCCCGCCTAAGCCTCCTGAGTAGCTGGAACCACGGGCATGCACCACCATGCCTGGCTAATTTTTTTTTTTTTTTTTAGGATGGAGTCTTGCTCTGTCCCCCAGGCTGGAGTGCAGTGGCACGATCTTAGCTAACTGCAACCTCCGCTTCCCGGGTTCAAGCGATTCTCCTTTATCCTGTCTCAGCCTCTTGAGTAGCTGGAATTACAGGTATATACCACCACGCCCAGCTATTTTTAAGTAGAGATGGGGTTTCACCATTTTGGCAAGGCTGGTCCTGAACTCCTGACCTCAGGTGATCTGCCCGCCTTGGCCTCCAAAGTGCTTGGATTATAGGCGTGAGCCACCACACCCGGCCATTTTTAACTTTTTGTAGAGCTAGCATCTCGATTTGTTTGCCCAGGCTGGTCTCCAACTCTTGAGCTTAAGTAATCTTCCTGCCTCTGCCTCCCAAAGTACTGGGGTAACAGGTATGAGCCATCACGCCTGGCCTTTACTCCCATTTATTAACAATAGATTGAAGTATGGCTGTCTAAGAATGCAAAAGCATGTGATTAAGAGGAATCTAAACACAGAGGAGGCTGGGTGTGGTGGCTGACACTTCTTTTTTTTTTTTTGAGACGGAGTTTCGCTCTTGTTACCCAGGTTGGAGTGCAATGGTGCAATCTCGGCTCACCGCAACCTCCGCCTCCTGGGTTCAGGCAATTCTCCTGCCTCAGCCTCCTGAGTAGCTGGGATTACAGGCATGCGCCACCATGCCCAGCTAATTTTTTGTATTTTTAGTAGAGACGGGGTTTCACCATGTTGACCAGGATGGTCTCGATCTCTTGACCTCATGATCCACCCACCTCGGCCTCCCAAAGTGCTGGGATTACAGGTGTGAGCCACTGCACCCAGCCGTGGTGGCTCACACTTCTAAACCCAACCCTTTGGGAGGCCAAGGTGGGAGGATCACTTGAGCCCAGGAATTTGAGATCAGCTTGGGCAACATAGCAAGACCCCCATCTCTATTTATTAAAACAAGGAAAAAGCAAAGGATGTAAAGGAACAACTCGAGTCCCAAATACATATTTATGAATTGCCAATGTTAGATTTCAAGAATGAAGTATAAAAAATTTAAGAATAATTAAACAGAACAAAACCCACTATTTCTCTCTCTTCCCACAAAAACAGATAAAACCTTTACATAACCTAAAAACCCAGAACTGCATTTGGTAACCACAGCAGTTTGGAGACCTGCATTTTTACTGTCTACTGAAAGAGAAGAAAGGGGAGGACCTAGATAATTAGCTCATGGTCCCTCAATACATTTCTTTAATAAATACATCAATAATACATAAGTGACTCCAACAGAGTTTCTAACTTTTAATAAAAAGGAAACCATGCAAATGTGAGGGCATATACAGCTAAACAAGGAATAAAAGGTATAAATATCAGTGAATATAAAATACAAAGGTAAAGGAAAAGACATCAGGTCCACAGTGAATAAAAGCCCTATAAAAAGAAACAAATGAAAAAGCAGATTGTGGAGTAATATTTTAAAGAAGGTTAAATTAGGTTAAAATAAACTCACCTCTGACAGTGCTACTAGGGACTGGTGAGACAGAGAAGCATCCATGCCTCTGGCTGAAAGTTGCTCCTACAATTACCAAAAAAAGGAGTTCAGTTAAAAAATTATTTCGAAAGTGACCACCATCAAATATTTTTAACATATAACACAGTAAAGAGGAGCTACAAATTATAAATGAAAAACTGTGCATGTATCTAAGCATTTATATGTTATATGTGAATCCTTTCCACACTCACAATTTGTGACAAGATGGGTGCAGTGTCTAAGGCCTGAGTTTCAGAGCCTGAACACCTGGGTTTGAATCTAGATCTCCTTAGTATAATAGCTATGTAATCTTGGGTAAGTTACCAACTTCTCTGTAGACCCCTCATCTGTAAAAAGGAATAATAATGCCTAGCTGTGAGGATGATGGTAAAAAATAAGGCGAGCTACCTATATTCAGTCCTTCATACAAACCTCTGCAGCCTTGATTCTAAATCTGAATTCCTCTGACTTTGCTTTTAGAAAGTCCATGTTCTGACGACGATTATCAACTTTGGCCCTTTCTGCAGACAGATGCAACTCTGCTTTCTTGAGATCCCTTTAAAAAGCAAAATTCAAAACATTTTCTTCTTTTCCTCAGTAAAAGTATTCTAAAATAGAAACTCCACCACTTTGGATTCAATGCTGGCTTAGCCAAGAGTCAGTAACCAGGTCATCTTCCCCTCCATGTTGCACTCTGGGATCTTTCTCAAAAAATATAAAAAGAGCCTTTTTTTTTTTTTTTTTTTTTGAGACAAGGTCTTGGTCTGTCACCCAGGCTTGAATGCAGTGGTGTGATCACTGCAGTCTCAAACTCCTTGGCTCAAGTGATCCTCCCACCTCAGCCTCCCAAGTAGCTAGGGCTATAGACACATGCCACTATGTCTGGCTAATTTTTTAATTTTTTGTAGATGGCCGGGCATGGTGGCTCACACCTGTAATCCCATCACTTTGGGAGGCCAATGTGGGCAGATCACCCGAGGTCAGTAGTTCAAGACCAGCCTGGTCAACATGGTGAAAGCCCATCTCTACTTAGAATACAAAAATTAGCTGGGCAAGGTAGAGTACGCCTGTAATCTCAGCTACTCAGGAGGTTGAGGCAGGAGAATCACTTGAACCTGGGAGGCAGAGGTTGCAGTGAGCTGAGATTGCACTACTGCACTCCAGCCCGGGCAGTAGAGCAAGACTCCATCTCAAATAAAAAAATAAGGCCGGGTGCGGTGGCTCAAGCCTGTAATCCCAGCACTTTGGGAGGCCGAGGCGGGTGGATCACGAGGTCAGGAGATCAAGACCATCCTGGCCAACATGGTGAAAACCCTATCTCTTAAAAAAAAAAAAATTTTTTTTTAAATCACATATATTTTGAAAATTCTAACACCCACATTTTTTGTTTTTGAAAAAAGGCAAGAGGCTGGGCACAGTGGCTCACACTTGTATTCCCAGCATGTTGGGAGGCCGAGGTGGGCAGATCACTTGAGGTCAGGAGTTCGAGACCAGCCTGGCCAATGTGGTGAAACCCCGTCTCTACTAAAATTACAAAAATCAGCCGGGTGTGGTGTTGTGCACTCTGTAGTCCCAGCTACTAGAGAGGTTGAAGCAGGAAAATTGCTTGAATCCAGCAGGCGGAGGTTGCAGTAAGCCAAGACCGTGCCATTGCACTCTAGCCTGAGTGTTGCAGTAAGACTCCATTTCGAAAAAAGAAAGTAAGATAAAAACTGTGTGAAGTGAAAGCTGAAAAAGTCAGGCTGGGTGCGATGGCTCACGCCTGTAATCCCAACACTTTGGGAGGCTGAGGCGGATGGATCACCTGAGGTCAGGAGTTCAAGACCAGCCTGACCAACATGGAGAAACTCCATCTCCACTAAAAATACAAAATCAGCCAGGCAGGGTGGTGCATGCCTGTAATCCCAGCTACTCAAAAAAAAAAAAAAAAAAAAAAAAAAAAAAAAGCTGAAAAAGTCTATATCCAACCATCTTCACCTCTACTAATCATTCTACTTTAAAAAATGTTGTTTTATGGACCCCATTTACTAATGTGTTTTTAAAATCATACTGCCAAAACTAAATTTGACAATGTCTTATTACTCCCTTAATTATAAATTCACCACTTTGAATTCAATTACTTACTCTTGTAGACATTTTTCTAATACTAAAGTTGCCGTTAGATTTTTTTCAAGTTTTTCCAGTTCAATCTTTATTGCTTCACTTTTGGATTTGGTACGAAAGAGGTCAGAGGTCAAATCATTCACTGCAGGGATAAAACTGAAAGAAGAATCTGGTCATATAAATGGGCATTAAGGACAATAATTATAATTACTTTTCATTGCTAAAAATGACTTTATTGCTATGTAGATTCCTGTAATCCCAGCACTTTGGGAGGCCAAGGTAGGTGGATCGCAAGGTCAGGTGTCCAAGACTAGCCTGGCCAAGATGGTGAAACCCCATCTCTACTAAAAATACAAAAATTAGCCAGTCATGGTGGTAGCCACCTGTAATCCCAGTTACTTGGAAGGCCGAGTAGCTGAATCTGAGGCAGAGAATTGCTTGAACTCAGGAGGCAGAGGTTGCAATGAGCTGAGATCGCACCACTACACGCCATCCTGGGTGACAGAGCGAGACTCTGTCTCAATAATAATAATAAAAACATACATTAAAAAAATTCTAAAACACATATTATTTGTAAAAAAAAAAAAAAAAAAAAAGCAAGAGGTTATATGATTCATCCTGCTTCACCAATGCGTATACAACTAACATAAACTGGTATTTGTTATCTGCTGAAGTTACTTAATTCAAGTCTAGATTTCTGCTGCCATACAGTAGGGATGTTCTTTTTTTTTTTTTTTGAGACGGAGTTTCGCTCTTGTTACCCAGGCTGGAGTACAATGGCGCGATCTCGGCTCACCGCAACCTCCGCCTCCTGGGTTCAGGCAATTCTCCTGCCTCAGCCTCCTGAGTAGCTGGGATTACAGGCACATGCCACCATGCCCAGCTACTTTTTTTGTATTTTTAGTAGAGACGGAGTTTCACCATGTTGACCAGGATGGTCTCGATCTCCTGACCTCGTGATCCACCCGCCTCGGCCTCCCAAAGTGCTGGGATTACAGGCTTGAGCCACCGCGCCCGGGTGTAGGGATGTTCTTACACCTAAACCACTACTCTGAGATTATATATAAATTGCCTTTAAATTGATAAGTAAGCTGTTCTGCTGTGTGATTCTCCAGTTATGATAAGCTATATTAACATTAGCAGTCCTGCCGGGCGCGGTGGCTCAAGCCTGTAATCCCAGCACTTTGGGAGGCCGAGGCGGGTGGATCACAAGGTCGAGAGATCGAGACCAACCTGGTCAACATGGTGAAATCCCGTCTCTACTAAAAATACAAAAAAAATTAGCTGGGCATGGTGGCGTGTGCCTGTAATCCCAGCTACTCAGGAGGCTGAGGCAGGAGAATTGCCTGAACCCAGGAGGCGGAGGTTGCGGTGAGCCGAGATCGTGCCATTGCACTCCAGCCTGGGTAACAAGAGTGAAACTCCGTCTCAAAAAAAACAAAAACAAAAACAAAAACAAAAAACATTAGCAGTCCTACCGAACATATGGCCAACAGTGATAGTCAGATGGGTTTATAAGACTGGTTTTGAATCTCAGCTCTGCCATTTACTAGCTGGGAGAAGTTATTTAATCCACACCTCCTGACCCTCAGTTTTCTCTAAAGGTTGTTGGAAGAATCATGTTATTATAGAAGTAAAATGCCTGTTAAAAAAAAATGAAAATTCCTAACCTACTCAACAAATAGGAGACATGAACAAGATTTACTATGTTCAACCAAATCACTTAGCCTACTCTCTTTCTTATTATACACAGGGAACAATGTGATACTAATCCCTTTCCAAACATACATGAGAACCACTCTTCATAAACCTATTCCTGGAAATAAAAAACACTAAAAATTAACCAATACCAAATGCATCCAAATTAATTATACTTACTGGCAAAGATACAAAGTAACTAAATTCAGCGCTTTGTATTTATTGTCAATTTTTCATATACAATTATGCCAAGAACCAAAAAGTCTTTAAGACTTGCAGAAATTAAAAGAATTACCTAGCTAGTGAGGTATCCTTTGTTTCAAGGGCCATCGCACTGTCAACCAAAGCATTCAGATACCTGGAACTAGTGCTAGAGAGATTGGCAGGGGAAAAATTCACACTCTCCATGAGCAGGTCTTGAAGATACTTGGCTAAAAAGATAAAAGAGTTCCATGGTGACTGTTTTCTTCTTTAAAATTTTTAACAGCTTTATCAAGACGTAACTCATGTACCATATAATCCACCCACCTAAGCTATATAATTCAGTGGCTTTTAGTATATTCCGAGTTGTACACCCATCAGTACAACCCATTCAAAAACATTTTCATCACTCCACAAAGAAACTCTACATCCCTTAGTCATCACTTTATTTATTTATTTATTTTAAAATTTTTTCTTATAGAGACCAAGTCTCCTTAGGTTGCCCAGGCTGGTCTTGAACTCCTGACCTCAGGTGATCCACCAGCCTTGGACTCCCAAAATGCTACGATTGCAGGTGTAAGCCACCACCTCAGCACTTTCTAATCTCCCAACCTATGAAACCCTAGCAACCACTTCCTGTCTTTCTTCATTTGCCTATTTGGGACATTTCATATAAACGGCATCATAAGATGTGCAGTCCTTTGTGACTAGCTTAAGGTTCATTCAGGCCACAGCATATTCCAGTACTTCATTCCTTTTTATGGCTGAATAATATTCTATTATATGGACATATCATATTTTATTTATCCATTCAACCATTGATGGACATTTGGGTTGTTTCCACATTTCGGCTGTTATGAACGCTGCTAAAAAACATTCATTCAGTAAATGTTAGGTTTTGATATGAACATATGTTTTCACTTCTCTTGGGTATATACCTGGGAGTGGAATTGCTGGTCATATGTTAATTCTATGTTTAAACATTTTAGGAAATGTAAGATTGTTTTCCAAAGTGATTGTATGATTTTACGTTCCCACTACAAGTGATGAAGGCTTCAATTTTCCACATCTTCTCTAACAGCTGTAATATCTGTCTTTTTGATTACAGCCATCCTACTAAGTGTGAAGTAGCACTGTGGTATTTATTTGTTTTATTGAGACAGAGTCTCACTCTGTCATCCAGGATGGAGAATAGTGACACGATCTCAGCTCACTGCAGCCTCGACCTCCCAGGCTCAGATGATCCTCTGAGATCCCACCTCTGCCTCCTAAGTAGCTGGGACTACAGGTATGCACCACTATATCTGGCTAATTTTTCCTTCTTTTTTTTTTTTTTTTTGAGGCGAAGTTTCGCTCTTGTTACCCAGGCTGGAGTGCCATGGTGCGATCTCGGCTCACCACAACCTCCGCCTCCCGGGTTCAGGCAATTCTCCTGCCTCAGCCTCCTGAGTAGCTAGGATTACAGGCACGTGCCACCATGCCCAGCTAATGTTTTGTATTTTTAGTAGAGACGGGGTTTCACCATGTTGACCAGGATGGTCTCGATCTCTTGACCTCGTGATCCACCCGCCTCGGTCTCCCAAAGTGCTGGGATTACAGGCTTGAGCGACCGCGCCCGGCCTTCTTTTTTCTTTTTTTGAGATGGAGTTTCGCTCTTGTTACCCAGGCTGGAGTGCAATAGCACAATCTCGGCTCACCGCAACCTCCGCCTCCTGAATTCAAGCAATTCTCCTGCCTCAGCCTCCCTAATAGCTGGGATTACAGGCGTGCGCCACCATGCCCAGCTAATTTTTTGTATTTTTAGTAGAGACGGGGTTTCACCATGTTGACCAGGATGGTCTCGATCTCTTGACCTTGTGATCCACCTGCCTCGGCCTCCCAAAGTGCTGGGATTATAGGCCTGAGCCACCACGCCCAGCCGAAATTTTTCTATTTTTTGTAGAGATAGTATTTTGCTATGTTGCCCAGGCTGTTCTTGAACTCCTGGGCTCAAGCGATCTGTCTGCCTTGGCCTCCCAAAGTGTTGGGATTATAAGCATGAGCCACTTTGCCACTGTGGTTTTGATTTGAATTTCTCTGATGACTAATGATGCTGTGCTTTGTGGCCATTTGTGTATCTTCATTGGAGAAATGTCTATGTATTTCCCTTGCCCATTTCAAAATTGGGTTGTCTATTTATTATTGAGGTTTTCTTTGTTTGTTGTTGTTGTTGTTGTTGATGTTGTTTTGAAACAGGGTCTTACTAGCTTAATTCTAGTCCTTGAGCTCTAGAAGTCAAGGCTCACATGATGGCACCACTGCACTCCAGCCTGGGTGACAGCGTGAGACCCTGCCTTAAAAAATAATAAATAATTGGCCGGGCGCGGTGGCTCAAGCTTGTAATCCCAGCACTTTGGGAGGCCAAGGCGGGTGGATCACGAGGTTGAGAGATCGAGACCATCCTGATCAACATGGTGAAACCCCGTCTCTACTAAAAATAAAAAAATTAGCTGGGCATGGTGGCATGTGCCTGTAATCCCAGCTACTCAGGAGGCTGAGGCAGGAGAATTGCCTGAACCCAGGAGGCGGAGGTTGCGGTGAGCCGAGATCGCGCCATTGCACTCCAGCCTGGGTAACAAGAGCGAAACTCCGTCTCAAAAAAAAAAATAAATAAATAAATAAAAAAATAAATAATAAATAAATAAATAGTCTAAGAAGAGAGAAGACAAATTAGAAATGAAGCAAGGACAATCCTACCAACCTATTTTATAAAAAGAATTATAAATAAATAGTAAAAACAATCGTATACCAACAGTTCAGAAAACTTAGATGAAATGAACAAGCTACTAAAACTGGCATAGATAATTTTAATAGGCCTACAAAAAGTGAACAGATTGAACTAGTAATATAAAAAGCTTTCTCACAAAGAAAAGTCCAGGTCCAGATGACTTCACCACTGAATTCTACCCAATATTTTAAGAAAAATTAATACTAATTTTTCACCAACTCTTGCAAAAAATAGAAAAAAGAATAATTCCCAACTCTTGCCATGAGACTGTTATTATCCTGATACCAAAACCAGATAAAGACATTTTAAGAGAAGAAAACTGGGCCGGGCGCTGTGGCTCACACCTGTAATCCCAGTACTTTGGGAGGCCGAGGCAGGTGGATCACGAGGTCAAGAGATCGAGACCGTCCTGGTCAACATGGTGAAACCCCGTCTCTACTAAAAATACAAAAAATTAGCTGGGCATGGTGGCGCATACCGGTAATCCCAGCTACTCAGGAGGCTGAGGCAGGAGAATTGCCTGAACCCAGGAGGCGGAGGTTGTGGTGAGCCGAGATCGTCCCATTGCACTCCAGCCTGGGTAACAAGAGCGAAACTCCGTCTCAAAAAAAAAAAAAAAAAAAAGAAAGAGAAGAAAACTGGCTGGGTGCAGTGGCTCACCCCTGTAATCCCAGCACTTTGGGAGGACAAGGTAGGTGGATCAGCTGAGGTCAGGAGTTCAAGACCAGCTTGACCAACATGGCAAAACCTTGTCTCTAACTAGACAGACAAAAATTAGCCAGGTGTGGTGGTGGGCGCCTGTAATCCCAGCTACTCGGGGAGGCTGAGTCAGGAGAATCGCTTGAACTCATGAGGTAGAGGTTGCAGTGAGCAGAGATCACACCACTGCACTCCAGCCTCGGTGAGAGAGCAAGACTCCATCTCAAAAAAAAAAAAGAAAGAAAAAAAAGAAAAGAAAAGAAAACTACAAATATCTTATGAATACTAAATACTGCAAATATCTTATGAACACTAAAAAAAAATTATGTGCTCATGCCTGTAATCCTAGCACTTTGGGAGGATGAGCCAGGTGGATCACATGGGGTCAGGAGTTCAAGACCAGTCTGGCCAACATGGTGAAAGCCCATCTCTATTAAAATACAAAAATTAGCCGGGTGTGGTCGAACAGGCCTCTACTCGGAGGCTGAGGCATGAGAATTGCTTGAACCTGGGAGGTGGAGGTTGCAGTGGGCTGAGATCACACCACTGCACTCCAGCCTGGGCGACAGAGCAAGATGGTTTTAAAAAAATTATATAACATAAAGCAATAAAAAAGAAAATGCTGTAACAGAGTGGAAGAAGAATCTGGGAAACACAAAGAAGCAAAACAAATAGTCTACAGTAAATTAACCCTGTATGCTTTGGTGTTATAAAATTTGGTTACCTCTATTTATTCTCATTTGAAACTCTGGACTTAATCTCACCTTCTGACTCGTATTCACTTGCTTTCTGCTTCAAGTCCTCTATCACCAGGTAGACATCCCTGTCCCGGACCCTGTTGCGTTCTGAAAGGTGATGTAAAATCTCTGTGGTCCGTGGGTTCACCTCATACTGTGGAATGGGATGATCTCCAAATATTTTTTTTAACCACACAGCAACCTAAGCATTAAAAGAAAGACAAATACTATAAGCCTTGTTTACTGTAATAGCACGATGAGACTATGACAGCGAAGTGATCAAAAGCAAACTACATGTTTTCTGTGACTATTCTGAAGTCCTACTTCACCTCATTTCTTTAGGGAGATACTAGATATCAGGAAATAAAAAATGAGCAAGTACACAATGAATCGTACAAGACGCAAAATTACCAGAGAACAATCCGTTCTTTCTCAAGTCTGCAAAAGCAGTACAGGCTAACAATCTGCCTCTCTTGAAAAGCCTTAAAGCTTAATAGACCAGCGCGAAAGCATTATTAGGCCGTGCATAGTCTGAAAACAACCATTGTTCCGCCATCAGCAGAAGCTCCGCCGCACTGGGAGCCTCCCAGTGTTGCGATGCAGGGCGCAGAAGCAGCTCAGATGTGAAAGCAGCCGGGTGAGCAGCAAATAGCGAGGCTTGGCTGGAAGGCGGGTTTGGCTTCAGAAGTCCCACTCCAGTCTGTTGACAGGGACTGCACAACGCCTCTCCCAGGCCAGATCCAAACAAGGGCAGGCCCGGGGAGGAAGGGTAGCGCCTTTTTCAGGAGGGTCTAAGCACAGGGGATCTTGCAGATCCTGACCGCGGCTCTAAAAGACGGATGAGTGGGCCGGGCACGGTGGCTCACGCCTGTAATCCCAGCACTTTGGCAGGCCTACGCGGGCGGATCACCAGTGGTCCGGAGTTCGAGACCAGCTTGGCCAACATGGTGAAACCCCATCTCTACTAAAAACACAAAAATTAGCCGGGCGTGGTGGCAGGCGTCTGTAAGCCCAGCTACTCGGGAGGCTGAGGCAGGAGAATCGCTTGAACTCGGAAGGCGGAGGTTGCAATGGACCGAGATCGCGCCATTGCACTCCAGCCCGTGCGACAAGAGCGAGAGACTCCGTCTCAAAAAAAAAAAAAGACGGATGTGTGGACGAGGGGAGCGAAAAGGTAGACATGGCGCGCGCAGGAGACCCGCCAGTGGCGCGAGGGTGTCAAAAACGCGTTTTCCAGGAGGCCACCGATCCCCGCTCCCGCCCGAGCACCTTCGCTTCTCTCTCCTCCAGCGGCTCCATAGCTGCCACTCCCGCCACTTCACTAGGAACTCCTCGCGTGAGACGCGGCCCGCTCCCTCCCTAGGCCCCGCCCACACGCCGTTGGCCCCGCCCCTGGCCGGGCCCGGGATTTCTGGGAGTTGTGGTTTTTCCTGGGACTACTGGCTGCTGAGAGCCTCTGTGCAAGGCTGGTCCAAGGCTCTGACATTGCAAGCCTCGCTTCCTTTCCACCTCCCCGCTTTTCCCGCCTTCCGCGGTATAATTTCTAGTACGAGAGGTAGAGCCGCCTAGATCCAGGTTGTTTTTTCTTTCATTTTTATTTCTTGCTTGAATCACTTGTCTTAAAAAAAAAGTACTTGAAACGTTTGGTTTTTGCTTAGCAAGATGTTTTTGTGTCTTTACACATTGATTGCATCCACTTAGAATTTTTATTCTACCCTGGCAATATGAGCTGTGGCAATCTTAACCTGATCCGTTAGTCCCCTAAGATCTAACGAAAATTTTTTTGAGATGGAGTCTCGCTCTGTTGCCAAGGTTGGAGTGCAGTGGCGTGATCTCGGCTCACTGAAACCTCAGCCTCCGGGTTCAAGCGATTTTCCCGCCTCAGCCTCCCGAGTAGCTGGGATTACAGACGCCTGCCACCACGCCTGGCGAATTTTTGCATTTTTAGTAGAGACAGGGTTTCACCATACTGGCCAGGCTGGTCTCGAACTCCCGATCCACTCGCCTCAGCCTCCCAAAGTGCTGAGATTACAGGTGTGAGCCACCACTCACAGCCAGGAAAATGTTTTTTAGCGGTATCAGTCTGCTGGGATTTTCACTGTGGATCAGTCATTCTTCAGTTCATTTCTTGCCTTCCCTAAAGGTCTCCCCTCTCCATCACCCTGTAGAGGTTCTTCTTTTTTTTTTTTTTTTTTTTTTTTGACAGAGTCTTGCTCTGTTGCCCAGGCTGGAGTGCAATGGCACGATTTCTGCTCTCTGCAACCTCTGCCCTCTGGGTTTGAGCGATTCTCCTGCCTCAACCTCCTGAGTAGCTGGGATTACAGGCCCGCACCACCATGCCCGGCTAATTTCTTGTATTTGTAGTAGAGACGTGGGTTTCGCTTTGTTGGCCAGGCTTTGGGGGTTTCGCTTTGTTCCTGATCTTGTGATCCACCCATCTTGGCCTCCCAAAGTGCTGGGATTACAGGCGTGAGCCACCATGCCTGGCAGAGAGGTTCTTTATATACATTTACACAGCAAAGTAAAGTTTTTTGTATGTTTTTATATTTTTGTTTCATTCTTACAGGGTCTCCGTAAAATACGTGGACATTCATTATTTTACCTGTTTTCACATAAAACACATACACAAGGATTAAATGACTTGATCAAAATTAGGTAGTAGAGCTAGAAGGTGACCAAAGTGTTCTAACTCCAGTTGAGCGTTTCAGTCTCCACACCGCCACCAGCAACCTGCTATAGTGTACCGTCTTACTAGGAAAAGAGGATAGCTCGAGGAAGGATCATGTACTCAACTTTCTGTCATGTGTGGTTTGATATCAAATTGTGAATCAGGTTTAGCACCAAATATCTTTCTCCTAAGTCATTGGCATATTTAATATGATTTTCTTTCTTTCTTTTTTTTTTTTTTTGAGACGGAGTTTCGCTCTTGTTACCCAGGCTGGAGTGCAATGGCACGATCTCGGCTCACCGAAACCTCCGCCTCCTGGGTTCAGGCAATTCTCCTGCCTCAGCCTCCTGAGTAGCTGGGATTACAGGCACGGGCCACCAGGCCCAGCTAATTTTTTGTATTTTTAGTAGAGACGGGGTTTCACCATGTTGACCAGGATGGTCTCGATCTCTTGACCTCGTGATCCACCAGCCTTGGCCTCCCAAAGTGCTGGGATTATAGGCGTGAGCCACCGCGCCCAGCCCTTCTTTCTTTCTTTCTCTTTCTTTTTTCTTTTTTTTTTTTTGAGATGGAGTCTTACTCTATTGCGCAGGCTGCAGTGCAGTGGCACGATCTTGGCTCACTGCAACCTCCGCCTCCTGGGTTCAAGCATTCTCCTCCCTTAGCCTCCTGAGTAGCTGGGATTACAGGTGTGCACCATCACATCCTGCTAATTTTTTATCTTTTTAGTAGAGATGGGGTCTCACCAGGTTGACCATTCTGATCTTGAACTGCTGACTTCAGGTGATCCACCTGCCTCAACCTCCCAAAGTGCTGGGTGGTGTGAGCCATCACACCCAGCATTTTTTTTTTTTTTTTTGTGATGGAGTCTCTCTCTGTCGCCCAGGCTGGAGGGCTGGAGTGCAGTGGGGTGATCTTGGCTCCATGCAACCTCCACCCACCCAGGTTCAAGCGATTCTCCTCCCTAGTAGTTGGGTTTATGGGCGTGTGCTACCATGCCTGGCTAATTTTTGTATTTTTAGTAGGTGGGGGGTGGTTCACCATGTTGGCCAGGCAGGTCTTGAACTCCTGACCGGTGATCTGTCCACCTCGGCCTCTCAAAGTGTTGGAATTACACGTGTGAGCCAATGTGCCCAGCCTAAAATGATTTTCTTTTTATTATCATTATCAATGATTTGAGATGGAATTTCGCTCTTGTTGCCCAGGCTGGAGTGCAATGGTGGAATCTCAGCTCACCACAACCTTGGCCTCCCAGTTTCAAGTGATTCTCCTGCCTCAGCCTCCTGAGTAGCTGGGATTACAAGCACCTGCCACCACACCCGGCTAATTTTGTATTTTTAGTAGAGATAGATTTCTCCATGTTGGTCAGGTTGGTCTTGAACGCCTGACCTCAGCTGATCCACCCAATTCGGTCTCCCAAAGTGCTGGGATTACAGGTGCGAGCCACCATGCCTAGCCTGATTTTCTTTTCAAAGGAAACTTACTAGCAAGCCAAGCTTATTTATTATTTATTTTATTTTTAGAGACAGGGTCTTGCTCTTTCACCCAGGCTGGAATACAGTTGTGTGATCATAGTTCACTGCAACCTTGAACTGGGCTCAAGCAATCCTCCTGATTTGGCCTCCCAAGTAGCTGGGACTACAGGCACTTGCCACCACGCCCAGCTAACTTTTTGTATTTTTTGTGGAGAGAAATTCTCACTATGTTGCTCAGGCTGTTTTTGAACTCCTGGCCTGAAGTGATTCTCCCACCTTGGCCTCCCAAAGTGCTGGGATTATAGGCATGAGGCACCACACCCAGCCTGTCTTGCTTATTCTTTTTGTTTCAAATGTATCTCTGCTCTGGCAGGGTATGGTGGCTCATGCCTGTATTCCCAGCACTCTAGGAGGCTGAGGCAGGTGGATCACCTAAGGTTAGCAGTTCAAGACCAGCCTGGTCAACATGGCAATACCCTGTCTCTACTAAAAATACAAAAATTGGCCGATTGTGGTGGCATGTGCCTGTAATCCCAGCTATTCAGGAGGATCAGGCAGGAGAATTGTTTTAACCCTGGAGGCGGAGTTTGAAGTGAGACAAGATTGAGACACTGCACTCCAGCCTGGGCGACAGAGTAAAATCCGTCTCAAAAATACAGATATATCTCTGCTCCAGTAATCAAATTACAGATAAGCTGGTTCAGCTCTTCAGTATGGGGCAAAAAAAAAAAAAAAAGTTATCTTTATGTCTTTTGTCCACTGTCATCACTACAAATTTTACAAAATATCCCTGTAATTTTTTTTTTTTTTTTTTTTTTTGAGACAGAATCTCACTCTGTTGTCCAGGCTGGAGTGCAGTAGTCATTGCAAACTCCATCTCCCAGGTTTAAGTGATTCTTGTGCCTCAGCCTCCTAAATAGCTGGGATTTCCGGCGTATGCCACCATGCCCAGCTAATGTTTATATTTTTAGTAAAGATGGGGGGTAGCGGTGGGGGGAATGCAGGGAATCTCACTATGTTGGCCAGACTGGTCTTGAACTCCTGACCTCAAGTGATCAACCCACCTCAGCCTCACAAAGTGCTGGGATTACAGGCGTGAGCCACTGTGTCCAGCTAATTTTGTTGTTTTTATAAACCACGTTTTTTCCTGTCAGCTTGTGAAAATTGATTGGGTCATTCTTGTCATCCCCAGCTAAAACAGTGTAGAGAGGTAAAGGGGGAGAAAAGCACTCAGGGCACGTAACATTGCTCCAAAAATGTAATTATCTGCAAGTCTGGCTGCCTAAACCACCTGGTGTAACCTAAACTAGTTTTATTGAATTAGTTGCTAAAACAACCTGCAGTGACTCTAAGAATAGTTTTACCTGGTTGCCATCACTTGTCAATCAAAACTTTTCAGGCTCCCCAAAACCTTACTAGTGACAACGAACTTTCTTAAATTGAACTTTCTTAAAGAGCAATATGTACCATTTCTCTTTTTTTGTTGTTGTTTTGTTTTGATATAGGGTCTTGCTTTGTTGCCCAGGTTGGAGTGTCCTGGTGTGATCATAGCTCACTGCAGCCCTGAACTCCTGTACTCAAGTGAGCCTCTATCTTGGCCTCCCAATGTGTTGGGATTATAGGCATGAACCACTGCTCCTGGCCGCATTTCTCTTTTACAAAAATAAAACCTCTAACCATGTCTTTGTTCTTCTGACGTGCCAAAGGCCACCCTGTTGACGTGTATGCCCTGAATGACATTTATTGCTTCCCAAATGTTTTAAATTTAGAGATTTGGCAAGGCATGGTGGCTCCCACCTGTAATCCCAGCACTTTGGGAGGTCAAGGTGGGTGGATCATCTGAGGTCAGGAGTTCGAGACCAGCCTAGCCAATATAGTGAAACCCCGTCTCTACTAAAAATACAAAAAGGCACCCGCTTATAATCCCAGATACTTGGGAGGCTGAGGCAGGAGAATTGCCTTGAACCCAGGAGGCGGGAGTTGCAGTGAACTGAGATCGTGCCACAGCACTTCAGCCTGGGAGACAGAGCGAGACTGTCTAATAAATAAATAAATAAATAAATAAATTAATTAATTAATTTAGAGATTCGTCTCTATATTTTATTTGACTTGGACAGCCTTTTCCTACCCCTGATTCTTAGGAAAACTGTTTCTCTATTACCCCATGGCTTATCTTGAAAAGTCAGTAGAATACTGGAGAAAAGGATGTGTTTACAAGCCATGTT